AAACATCTGCCTACTTGGAACTAGCCTGCTTAGATTTATACAAGAGTCATGAAGGCCAGCAGAACAGAGAACTTGCCCACCATACCACACCCGCTAGGTGAGCATGCCAGTGGCCTTGTACTTAGTGAGAAGTCCCCAATGGGAAGAGAATCAAGACTGAGAAGTCCCACTTCCTGGCCTCACCTGGACTTTCATTCATCACACTGCCAAACTTGATTATCTAGGCTTGATGTGATTAATGGAAACTGACAGAAGCATATGACCTTGGGGAAGTTGCTTGACCTCTCTGTGCCTCAGTTTCCTTATCTGTAAAATGGATATAACAGCACCTATATAATAGAATTATTGTAAGTATTATACGAGTTGATGTTTGCAAAATTCTTAGGGCCATGCCTGACATGGAGTAAGCACTGTACACATGTTGGATGAAATAAAAATATTCATTACGCAGGGGGTGGGGGGGCAAGAAAAAGAAATAATCATGGCTGGGTGCAGTGGCTCAGGCCTATAATCCCAGCGCTTTGGGAGGCCAAGGCAGGCAAATCGCCTGAGGTCAGGAGTTCGAGACCAGCCTGGCCAACATGGTGAAACCCCATCTCTACTAAAAGTGCAAAAATTAGCCAGGTGTGGTGGTGGACACCTGTAGTCCCAGCTACTCGGGAGGCTGAGGCACGAGGATTGCTCAAACCTGGGAGGCAGAGGTTGCAGTGAGCCGAACTTATGCCACTGGACTCCAGCCTGGATGACAGAGTGAGACTCCATCTCAAAATAAATAAATAAAAATAAATAATCATTATTATGGTATTATATATTGCACTTCAGACAAATCAACACAGAACTGATGGCTGTTAGGTATTATCAGGTATGGTAAGCAGAATTCTAAGATGCTCCCAAGATTCTAAGCCTCTGGTGTACATACTTCTTTTGCCAGTTATTCAATCAAACAGTATCCTAGGTGGTGCTTTGAAATGATTTTGAAGATCTAATTAAGATCCCAAATTACTTGATCTTAAGGTCAGGATGTTACCCAGGTGTGCCTGTCCCAATCAGGTGAGCCCTTTAGAAGCAGAGCTTGTTCCGGCCAGCTGGTCACAACATAAGAAGTCAGGTAGATGCACTCCACCTGGCCTGGAAGAATGCACACATCGACACTAAGAAGTTCCTATGGAAAGGGCCACATGACAAAAAATTGTGGGTGGTCTCTAGATGCTGAGAGCAAGCTCGGCTGACAACTAGCAGGAAAAGAGGGACCTCAGTCCTACAACTGCAGGGAACTGAATTCTGCCAACAACCACTGAGCTCAGAAAACCTCTGAGCCCCAGATGAAAACCTTTGCCCTAGCCAACAACTTGATTGCAGCCATATGAGACCCCCAAGCCGAGAATCCGGCCACCCCATCCCTGAAATTCTGACCTACAGAAATTATGAAATAATCAGTTGGTGTTATTTTAAGCCACTTAAGTTTGTGATCATTTGTTACATGCAATAGAAAACTATTACAGATGAAAGAAAAGAAATACACAATTAGGAAACAAGCAACTAATTGTGTCCAAAGCCGAGGTAGCTTCTCCTCCACCCTACCCCATTACAGGGAAAGATTTTGTCACTAAGTCATTCCAAAATACCACCAGTTCAGAAAAAAGTATATTCGCCATGTTAGGTTTGGTCTTATGGAAAGGGGTCATCATTCTGTACTCACCATCACTGGCAGGAGAAGACTGACTCATTCACCTCAGGAGGCAGCAAGTTTGGGGCCTCCCAGGCTGGTTCATGTGATAAGGGAAAGGGCTGTGTGATGTCCAGGCCTAAACCTGGCACAGCCTCCTGGTATCACACTGGGACCTCTGACCTACAGACTTGGCTCCACCTCCACTTTCCAAGACCTATCAGGAAATTAAGCGGGGGGGTTTTAGGACCCAGTGACCAGAACGCTGGGATGCACTGAAGAAAAGAGAAGGTGGAGTGTGCACTAAGAGCTGTGACTTCTGCATTAAACTCTGGCTTCACCACCTACTGACTTTGTTAAGTTCCTTAACCCCTCTGCACGCCCAAATATAAAACGGGGATAAGAACTGTGAGTGTTTGAGGGAAGGTTTATAAATCACTAACATATGCCTAGCTTTCAGCAAGCCCTCTAGAATGGGAGCTATTATTTAGTTGGTTTTGATGCTGGCCTCGTCTTAGACTGAAGCACTAATGCTGGGCTTTCATCATATTATGAAGACTGAGCCCCATGTTCCAGAATAGATAGCTGAGCACATCTTAGATTGTCATTTCTGAGCCCCTAATGTCTACTTAATGACTGACCACAGCAACCTGGTACGTGGAGTATCAGCCCACTCAATTAGCCCCATTACAAACCCTGAAGAAAAAAGCCATCCTTTCCTGGTCCCTTCCTCTTGCTTCCTCTTTCATTGTAACATGAATTGTGCTATCGATGTGCATCAAGTAGCCAGCATGTGTACTGAATAAAACCAAGGAAAATGTGGTAAATTTATCATGTGTTGTTTGCAATCTAAAAACAGACAAAATGATCATTTTTAAAAGATGGGTTCATGAGTTTATGTCCATCATTCGTAATGGTAAGGTCTATTCTATGCCACTTAACCAGTTTTGATGATAGAATTTATGAGGTTGTGCCAGGTTGCAATGATAAAGCATTCAAAGGTATATGCCACTTATAAATATGACATCTAGACTCATAAAACGGATTCTTAAATATTATTTTTGAGCATGGCTAAGTGGGGTCATTTGATATTTTCCTAAATTGCCATGAGGGAAATGGTAATGTTATGTTTCCCCATCTGTACGGATGACCATCTATTTTTTTTTTAAGAGGTAGAGTCTCACTCTGTCGCCCAGGCTGGAGTCCAGTGGCGCAATCTCGGCTCACTGCAACCTCCACCTCCTGGGTTCAAACAATTCTCCTGCCTCAGCCTCCCAAGTACCTGGGAGTTCAGGTGCACACCGCCACGCCTGGCTAATTTTTTTTTTTTTTGTATTTTATTAGATACGGGGTTTCACCGTGTTGCCCAGGCTGGTCTTGAACTCCTGAGCTCAGGCAATCCGCCTGCCTTGGCCTCCCAAAGTGCTAGGATTACAGGCGTGAGCCACCATGCCCGGCTGGATGACCATCTATTATATGGACTTGCAAACTGATTAATTGCCTGGAATATTTAAGAAGAAAAAAATGCTGTTCTAGTAATTACTAGTTCTGGGTTAAACTTAGTGGATTTGACTGAGGGAAGATTAACATAAGCAAGGGTCTGAAACATTTTATATGAGAAACCATGTAATTTTTTAAACTGGTGTTTTCAAAAAGAAAACCACAGAAAAATGTCTACAGCTCCTCAGCCCTTAGCAAATGACTCTCTGACCAGACTGTAACATCAAGGAAATCAAGTATCTTTACCTATCTCGTTCCTTACCACTCTGGTGCCTAGAATAGTGCCTGGTACAGGCATGGGAATTCATCATATATTTTCTAAGTAAATGAACAAAATGAATTAGCTAATGGCAGGATGTTGATGTTAATTAACTGCATAAATTCTGAGCAGTACATGTAAATATGATCAGATGAAGAATTTTTAAAAAGGAGGTAAAGTTCCATAAAAAAGTAGGAGGTAAAGTTCTGTAAAGTCACATTTAAATTATTGGGCAAATAGGAAGAGAAGGAAACCCGGTGTCAGCGGAATCTATCACTACAAAGTTTTCATTCTTGAATGGAAATTTCCAGAGCCTACATTGTAAACCGTTTTATGATGGGTCATTTATGAGGAGCAACCCTTTTGCTTAAGTGACTATGTGACAACAGTGCCATCTGGTGGCGAACCACCTGTGCATTTTAGACAAATATTCTGGAGTCTTTCACACAGCAAATTAAATTAAAAATTACAGAAAATTTATATTGGAAATATATTTAGAGATCATCTCGACCAGATGTAATCTTACAGGTAAGGATTTGACTTAAGAAGTTTCAATATTTTCTTTATTTTGATTGATGCAATGGAGCCCCAAATTCATCTCTGAGAGAGAATTGAAACTACAGCCATTATTACTAAATTGTATCACAGTGTTCCTGTAACTCTGAAACTGAAAGGCAGATAAAAATCCATTCATCGAGACTCCAAAGAGCACTGTCCAATCAAAATCTGTTCAGTGATGGGGCAACAGAATTTTCTTCTGCAATAATCTACATCTGCAATGCTCAATACAGTAGCCACTAGCCATTGTACATATTTTACACCTGAAATGTGGCTAATGACACTGAGAAACTGGATTTTTAATTTTACCGCTTTAATTAATTTACTTTTTTTTTTTGAGACAGAATTTCACTCCTGTTGCCCAGACTGGAGTGCAATGGCACAATCTCGGCTCACTGCAACCTCCACCTCCCGGGTCCAAGTGATTCTCCTGCCTCAGCCTCCCAAGTACCTGGGATTACAGGCATGTGCCACCATGGCCAGCTAATTTTTTATTTTTAGTGGAGATGGGGTTTCTCCATGTTGGTCAGGCTGGTCTCGAACTCCCAACCTCAAGTGATCTGCCTGCTTCAAACTCCCAAAGTGCTGGGATTACAGGTGTGAGCCACCGCACCTGACCTTAATTTACTTCCTGTAAATAGCCACATGGCTACAACAGGGTTTTTCAACCTGGACACTACAGTATTAACATTCTGGACTGGAAATTTCTTTGTTGTGGGTCTGTCCTGTACATTTTAAGAAGCTTAGCGGCATTCCTGGCCTCTACCCACTAAATGCCTGTAGTATCCCCCTCTCCTCAGTTATGACAACCAAAATGTCTCCAGGTATTGTTGAACATCCCTGGGTGACAAAATTCCCCCATGGAGAACCACTGGACAAGTGGCTACTGCATTAAGCAGTAGGTTCTAGAATATGCTTAATATGTATATAGTGTTTTGGTTGAAAAAAAGAAGTGACTACTATACTATGCTAAGATGGTAGTGGTTTTGCCGTAAGAACAAGGAAGGTTAAAACCAATTAGACATAAACCAAGAAACATATTTCTTTATTTTTATTGTCATACAGCAGAGATGGAACAAGGATAGTGATGCTGGAAAATCCTGCCTTGATCAAATAATCACTTAAGCTAGTGTTAGAAAACCTATTTGAATCTGACTCCTCTATCCTTGCTCTGGGAAACTGGACATACTGATCCAGTTGCTGTGAGGGCTAAATTAGATGATGCAGAAAGTGCTTGGCATGGAGTAAATATTTAAAACAACAGCTGTTATTTTAAACATTCTCTTCCAAGTGGGAAAAATGTCTTCATACCTTCTAACTAATACAAATGTATGCAGTGCGTTTCTATAACAAATCTAATGGAAAACATCAATCAAACTCTATAAACCCAACTAGATTTTTTAAATTCTAATGGCTACGACACTCAATAACGTTTTCATGTTGTTTGTGAATCCGTTCCCTTGATGCATTTAAAGATGTAGGAGAAACCGTTTCAGATCCTCTGGGAGAATGAGGTTGCTTATCTTATGATGCTGCCGGATTCCAAAGCACTTCCGAATTCTAAGGCGGCATAACTGCATCAAAGAAGGGGGCCCTGGAGAAAGATCATAAGACAAGTCACACAGTGGTGTTATTGATCTAAGACTTCTCCTTTAAAAAAAAAAAAAAAGCATACAAAATATAACATTGTTATAAGGAAATAATATTGAACTACTGAAGACCATTTTCTGGGTTTTCTTTTTTTTGTAGAAGGCATTTTTAGGCTATGTTCTCTCTTTTCTGGTAGCTAATTGAAATAAGCTTGTGAGATTTTAATTTAGAGCAGACTGAAAGAAATTTAAAGCTTAGTCTCACTAATGGAGGCTTAACTAAGCTAACTTGGGAATTACACAGCTACACAAAAAATCCAATAATCAAAATAAAATTTATGTTTAATGGTGTTCTTAACTCTTACCTTTAAAAATAAGGGCATATTTCTAGATGCAAACATTTTTATTTTATAACTTGAGCCATTTAAGGTATTCAAATGTAATGAGCTCAGAGGTGAATCCCAAGAGTATGTTATGTGAAGTCATGTTTGTTTTTATATTCCGTATTCAGAGCTATTCCAATGCTTCAACTCAGGGGTGAAAAGTGAACTACTTAGCACAAGCCTTGCTTAGGGAACACCCAACAGTTTACATTTTAGGACAGTGGTTCGCATCTGGGAGGAGGCACAGGGAAGGAAAGGAGGAGGACATCATTTTGCCCCTCAGGGGACATTTGGCAGTGTGTGGAGACATTTTTGGTTGCCAAAACTTGAGGAAGGGTGCAACTGGCATCTAATGCAAGAGGCAAGGGATGTTCCTCAACATCCCGAAGTACACAGGACAGCCCCCAACTGGTCCCAAGTGTCAACAGTGTCAAGGTTGAGAAACCCTGTTATGGGGCAAAAGAATAGCGAATGATTTTCCATGCTCCCCCCTACTTCCTGCATCAAATTTTAATGGGAATCTTCTTTTGGTTATTTTTTAAAAAACAAAACTGTATACCCTCAAGAACTCCATAAACAAATAGCCCTCAATCCATGCTGGATTTCAGACTCACCTGGGGTGGGGGCACATTCAACTAAATGGATGCTGAGTCCCCCCAACTACAGATGTTGCTTCAATTATTGTTGGGTAAAGCCCGAGCATCTGGATTTTCTATAGGCATGTGCCCCAGTCATCTGAGTGTGCAGTCAGGGCTGAGAATACAGCCAAACGACACTGTGGCCTCCATATTCTATATTCCTATAGCATCACCACCAACTACAGGATCAACTGAGAAACTTATCTCTCAAGGTGATGAAGAACAAGGATTGATGGAACTTGACACATAAACAATCAAAAAAATACTTGACTATTTTACACCAGGCCCTAACAGAAGGGTCCTGTTGGAGTAAGGCACCGACCAGATTATGCCCAACATACTCAAAGCGTATATTAATAAACGGCTTCTCAGTATTCTCAAGGCATATATTAATGAGCAGCAAAAAGCACACGGTAGGGAAACTGAACCTAATCTAACCTCACTAAAGAACGATGAAAGATGTGACTGATCATCTGTGCTAGATACACTGTCAGGGGCAACCATAGTAGGTACTGATAAAGCGTTACAAATAACAAGATCTCAGAGCAGGCCTGACAGAGAATTAAGAAAAGCAGAGTGTCACAATAAGCACAGTGTATTAATAACTACTGATGCCAACTGAATGCTGCTGACTGCTGACTACAAGTAGGACAATGTCAAACAACTATAGCTTCAAGTCCATAGAAACAGAGCTGAATACAGCTTTGCAGTCACTTGCTGACACCTGCAAACATTCAAGGGGTTTGCTTTACTTAATAATAACACCAGCTAATTGTCTATGAATTGGCATATTCCTTTGGGCCTTGAATTCTTTATCCCCCCCACCCAACAACAATCCTTGATGCTTTAAAGCCAAAGTGCACTGGGTGAGCAGCTAGGGGCTGTGGTCATGCTAGGCTGACAGTCATTTCTAGGTTTTAATTGTGTGCCATGAGCGAACACTGCTTTAGACGCTTATTAAGGGTGAGGTGGTAATATTCTTGAAATATTTTCCCTTTTCCTCAGAAAAAGAGAAAATCTTAGCCTTCCTAACACCCATGCAAAGCCCAATTCAGAACATGGTTGGGTTTTACCAACATTCTCCTGTTGCTGTACCATTGAAAGAGGACAGTAACTGAATGAATTCCCTTCCCCAGGAAACAGAGAAACAGGTAGACTGAAGCAAATGAATTTGCAGGGGCACCCAGAGACAGAAACTGCTGTGAGCAATTCACAGGTCTAGTTTTCTGTACTTGCCTGGCCCCATTTCCTGTGGGTCCAAACCCTCTGAGAGGTGACTGTACCAAAACCCCAAGAGTGACTCATGGAGGCAAAACAACTGGTGATTCTCTCCAGCAGCAAATGACACCTCATAAACTAGTAGAATCATTGGCCCCACTGTCACCGTGCAAAACATGCATTAAAAATTAATTACTGTCTCTGGGAAACAAAGCAGAAGGGAAAAGCCAGGGAAGGACATTTGAGAATCCTATGGGGCTACTTGACGGAGGAGGGGACATCTACATCCTACATGAACATATATCCTACATTATGACTGAGGGACTTCTGCCTCTGTAAATCCCTTTCTTAATTAAAACAATGAAAAATTCTATTTCACAACTATGTTGGTATAAAGATGATTCCAATCCATGTTGTTCTATTCATTTTTTGTCCTAATTTTTTAAAAATTAAGATATATTGGCCGGGCACAGTGGCTCACACCTATAATCCCAGCACTTCAGGAGGCCGAGGCGGGTGGATCATGAGGTCAGGAGTTCAAGACCAGCCTGGCCAACATGGTGAAACCCTGTCTCTACTGAAAGTACAAAAATTAGCTGGGTGTGGTGGCATGCGCCTGAAGTCCCAGCTACTCCAGAAGCTGAGGCAGGAGAATCACTTGAATCTGGGATGCAAAGGTTACAGTGAGCTGAGATCATGCCATTGCACTCCAGCCTGGCAACGCATTGAGACTGTCTCAAAAAAAAAAAAAAAAAAAAAAAAAAAAAAAAAAAAAAAATAAAAAAAAAAAAAAAAAAAAAAAAAAAAAAAAAGATATATTTATGGGCCTTGTAGACATAAAACTTTGTTAAAACAAGTAATTATTAAAATGCAGATAGAACTGCTCAGTGATTATCCCACTGCTTAACTGAAAGGGGCCTCTAGTGGACTATTCCTTATACCTGGAGTCAGTCTTTTCTGCCTGACCAGCACTGCTCAGGAGCATAGGCCTGCATATGCCTGCAGGAGCATAGTCCCATACTCCAAGGCAGGGACTTGACTGCAAGTACCCTGGGGCAGTGAGAGGTAGAGGAAAGAGGACTCCTTGGCACACTTTACAGATCTGCCCAAACCCAACCCTACTTCTTATCATGTGGGGAGAAAAGAACTAGATTGTATGATATCAGAATCCTTCTGGTAGGAAGGCCTGCTTCAAAGTCCCAGAATCCCTAAGACTTTACAGTCCATACTCTGGTAAGAAAGGAAGTACTGAGCTGGTTGCTCACCTGCCTCTAAGACCATGAAGATTACAACAGTGTGACTCCCCACCTTGAGTTGTCTTTGTTCACCAACCCTACCCAGGTCTCAAAGCCCTACTCCCAGACACACCGCTCAACCACAGTATTTCATTGTTTGGGTTGGGAGTGTCATTTCTTACTTATAGAGGTGTGGACTTATTGTTGGTTAACTTATCATAGTAAACGTCTTTGGATTGGTGTGAACCCTAAATTCTCAAAGACCTGCATTTTAAGCGTAGAAACCAAGCGTCCAGTAGTCTGGCCCATCTGTGGTACAGTAAGATATCCTGGGGCCCCATGCCCCCGAGAGGCCTCTGCTGCCTCATTCTAAAGCATTTTTTTAAATACATGTAATACTAAAATTTTAAAATAATACCTTAATTTTTAAAAACCTGGCCTACCCCATATATGGATATTATATCATCCCAAAACCTGTATCTAATATGCTAAACAGCAGGATGGTTATTTACTGTACTGTAACCAGTACTGTACCTCATTGAATACTGAATCATCTCAACTTCCACAGATTTGGTGATGGCAGAGAATGATCTTTTTACAGGACTGGAAGTCAGAAATTGCTAAATACCTGCCTCCTACTAAAGCCTGAAGGGGTGTCTACATATTAGGCTTAGATTTTGGCAAAGAAGCACCTTCTCTCTCCAAGAAGACCTGGGCCAAAGGGCTCTCTGGAGGCACCAGCTCCACAGGACGTTTGCCTTCAGCATTCTTGGCCTGGGTGTCTGCTCCAAAATCCATGAGTAGGCAAACCAGCTCTTCACTGACCGTCTTGGCCACTGCATGAAGTGGAGAATCGTGACCTTTGCCTTGGTTCACATCTGCACCTAAATAGTCACAAGAACAAAAAAAGGGTCAGCAAGGAGCAGAATCCAACCATCCTCCTTTTAAAGCAATGAGCCCCAAAATTCCCTAACAAGAGGGGATCCATATTGAGCACAGCAATTCTGGGAAAATGGGAGATGCTTTGATTCCATTTCATAATGTGGGGAAAATCTCATCTAATAATGTTATTGAATGTACAGCATGAGCTATATAGCATATAAAGTTAAAATTTTGCCTTTCGGCACTGTACATAGGCATGATGCATATAAGAAAAACCCCAGTGACAGAAAAGCTGCATATCATTATTAATGGAACCTAAGTATTAGCCAGTAGAGCCTGGGTGTGAGGCTAGATGGTGAAATCCAGCATACAACAAGCAGCCAAACTCACCTGGTGAGTACAGCTGCCACAGGGTGTAAAACCTGGCGCTTGGGTAATTTGGACTTTGTAAAGCAACTACCTCATGGGGGTATCCCCTGGATTGGACTGACCAATCCCAAGATCACGGGGAAGGTGGCAAAGTTCTCCCCTTCAGGAGTAAGGTACATTTCTAGGACTGTCCCCACCCAATTGCACTCCTACACTCTTAACAAATCCCCACCCCAGCCCAGATGCTGGCTCTCACTGTGACATGTGGGAACATGTGGCTTTGCCTGAGCTGCCATCTGTCTGGTAAAATGAAAATCTATGTGCACTCAACAAATGTTAACTGATCTGGTCTTGTATTGTTCTTAACTTTGTGAGGGATGTCAAACATGGCCCTTTCCAGGCTACAGGCTTAAAATCTACCCAGAATGGTGGAGGGGGTGGTGGCAGGTGGGAGAGAGAATACATCTCTTAATTCATAGCAATGCCTGCCAAATGAATAGGAGGCAATAAGGACTATAACAACATTCATTGGGAAAGGCTTTACTGGAGTCTTAAAGAGTAAATAGGACTCAGATAATTAAAGAGGTGATAAAATGGTGTTGAGAAGTGGGCTGGACAACAGCAGGGAGGTGAAAAGAAATAAGGGAACAAGCCAGGCACGGTGGCTCAAGCCTGTAATCCCAGCACTTTGGGAGGCCGAGGCAGGTGGATCACGAGGTCAAGAGATCGAGACCATCCTGGTCAACATGGTGAAACCCCGTCTCTA